ATAATTTTACTGGATCATTGGATAATGCAATTCAAGACTTTTTATTGGCTTAGCCATTATGGTATATGAGCCAATATACCATAATCTACAAATATGGTAAGCATACACGTCAGTTTAAAATCAAAAGGGAGCTAAAAAATCCAGTTTCTTCTCACAAAATAATAATTTCTTGAGGGCGTTTTTAATAAAACAATTATTCCACTCGCGCTTGTTGGATATGAGATGATTATAGCCAACGAGGTGCGTAGCGCCGAGTTGGCTTTCTATCATCTCATATCCAACGTGCGCTCGTGGAATAATTGTTAATTAATATATATAACGCTCTCTACTGCGAGGATTGTGCATCATACGTATCTATAACCGCAGTTCAAAATATATGAACTTCATATATTCGTCGAATCTCCAGATTTTTACTGAAGTCTCCAGATTTTTGGTGTTTTGAGGCTGAGAGGTCTGTAATTGTTAAATATTTGCAAAACTGAGTAATGAATGCAAATTTTATTATGATAAGAAATTAAAATTGATATTTCTAATTGTTGTTCCATTTCATTAGGTGAAGTAGTAAGTTACAAAGTATTCTTTCATTGATCAAAAACTTTGATACACAATTGTGTGAGAACAAGAAAGAGTTTTCAAAAGAATGTACCTTTTATTTCATAGAATTAAATGGCAAAGGGCAAATCATATCATACCAACTAAAGAACTGAAATACTATGCAGTACAGACAATTACAAAAATATGTTTTCCTCTTCTTCTCCTACTTCATCATGTAAAAAATTTATCTATGTGTAGAAATATAATTATTTTTTTATAGCTATATAACTTTAGTTAGAGTCTGTGTACCTGTTGGCTTGCTGTGAATTTAACCTCACCTATGCTCGTACGCAACTTTACCTGGTCATTTCTCTTGTGAGAACAACGGGAATGTGGGATTTATTGGGATGTCTGTATCTTTTTTGCACCTAATGGCCAAAATTTACCTCTGAATTCAACTCTTGTCATTCAAAGGGTGGAAATCTTACAAGTTAAAAACTGTATCAAATCCATTAACAAGAGAAAGAACAGATTTAGCAGCAATTTTTAAAGATGGGGGTGAAATGTTGTGGAAATTAGCCAGGCTTGCAATAAGCTTGCCTCTCTCTTCAGGGTTCAGCTGCCATGACAAACAAACCAAATACGGGACAAGGTTTTGGGACACTGCTAGCTTTTGGTTGTCTTTTATGGAGAGCATGTGGACAAGAGAAAAGATTCCAAGCTTTTGAGTTGCTGAAGAGCCTGGCAAAGTGAACTGGTTGCTCAAACAAACCATTTCACTGCCTCTAATTCCAGACAGAGGTGAAATTATCACATCTAAGTTGGTATCAGAATCACCAACTATTTTGCTTGTGTCCAAAGTAGCCATGTTTGTGTTGCTGTGGGAATCCAAATGACTTTGACCATTAAAATTCTCTTGAATTATCTGATCTGTTGTTTTTCTCCAATCCTTTCCTATGCCAAAAGCAAGATGAACTAAGGGCACCATTGTGACCCACTCAAAACTCAACGATTCCTCCCATTCTGATATTTCACTGGGAATGTGCCTTTCCAGAAACTTGTTAATGAGTTCATCAACAATACTTCTGGTGTCTTTGTCCACTCTAACCGTTGAAGCTGAGAGTATTCTTGCAAGGAACAAACAACAGTAGTACCTATAGTCCAAAAGCAAAAAAAAAGATACAAGTGCATCTTAAAAAAAAAATCTGTAAACCATGTAAAATGATTTACAGACTTTTATTTAGTCCCTCAATTCACAGAGACTGAGCTCATTATTTAAGTTTTTTTGCAACATGTCTCCTTATAGTATGTAATAAATAATGATAAATATGTTAATTAAAGCCCCCCCATAGGGGCTTTTCAGCCACAATGTAGACTATCTAAGTGCTTGAAAATCCCCACTGGCAGGAGGCAGACCAGTGGGCTATTTACAGAGCGCAGCCAAGGAGTTAGAACTACGGGCAACTGAAAACGAATCCAGTGAGTGGCAGGGGTGGAGGACTTAAACCTGGGACACCAGTATTACAAGTCCAGCACCCTAACCACTCGGCCACACCACCTCCATAGAAACGCAGAACATGTGGATTAGCAATGACAATAAAGCCTTTGTCCTAATTCACAGGAAACTGAAATTCTACATCCTGTCTGGTTAACTTAATTAATTAGGAGTCAAAATTTTGGGCCTTTTGTTTTGGAGGCTAAATCAAAAATTTCCCCAAGATACTCAACCAGCATCACAGATATAGAGTAATGATTTTATTGAATTATTCTCACCTGAGAGGTGTATCTCCATGCATTTCATCCAGTAAGTTTGTTGTGATATCAATGATTTTTTCCAGTGCTCCACAATCCACTAATGATTTAGCAGATTTAGCATTAAAAGTGCAATAAAACAAAGTGTTTGCTGCAACTTGGCTGGAGAAAAGTGAGTATCCTGCATGCAGTGACTGTCGCCTGTCTATCATAAATACAAGCTTGTCAATCAGTTGGGACATTTTGGAGACTACCTCTTGTGCATCAGGATCCAGTTCCACTAATCTGAAGAAATAACAGAAGTTCAAATTACTTTTTCTATAAGGCTTATAATGAAAATAAAAAAAAGACTGATCATCAAAATTATCCTCAAAATAAACTTGAACTGGGAGGAGTGTATTTTATTGACTCTGCAGCAAAATCAATTTGTTTAGTATTAATCAAAAAAATAGTTATACGGAACATTGTGCCAGTGTTATAATTGCATATATGAATTTTAAAGATCAGAATCACCATAAGATGTTACAATCAGGTAGTGCACACTTTAAATCAAAGGTCTATAATTCACCTACTCTTCAGCAATCAAAGTTTATTTCATTAACACTTTGTTACTTAAAACAGAAATGATCATCCACTGTACTCACCCTCCAACACATCCAATGGCCGCCTCATTCACTTGAAGCACCAAGGTTGCCAGGCGTCCATCATGTAACGTTGGGAAACTTTCCACAGGATATGAATGTGGAAGAAGTAGTGCATTGATTAGCATTGGAAGAACACTTTTTGATAAAACAAACTCTCGATCTTGAGCTCTCTCCGAGAAAACCCACAAAAGATCAAGGCAACATTGTTGCAGACCAAGTTGAACTCGATTAAAGTTGTATTTGCGTTGCTCCAGAACATCTTCCTCTTCAATCTCATCTCTAGAATAAAATAAAAGTAGTAGAAGCAAAAGTGGTTCAGTTTCAAAGAAAAAAAGGGAAGAAAACTCCAACCCAAATCAAGGATGAGATGATCATATCTGTAATATTTGCCAAATGGCAGACAAGGACTTTATACACCTCCACTGTTTTAGACAAAAGATAAGTTTACCATCACAATACATAAAGCAATTCATAATTACTAGTTACAACTCATATGTCAAGAGTAACAGATCTCTTTGATCATCAAAATTTAAAACAATCATACTGGCTAAACTGTGTCAGGGCATTAAACACTTTGGTGAAACCTGAATGTTTGACCGCTGAGTGATTCCACTAAGAAAATATGAAAAGACAATAATTAGAGCCACATGATGTCCTTAAAACCAATTTTCATTAAAAGGGTATTGGTATTGTTTTCATTCAGTGGTGCATCAGCAGTTTACAATCAGTTGATGGAAACGTAGCTGAAGAAGCCCCCTCCCTTCCAATTCCAGTAAACAGGCCAGACCACATCACAGTAATCTTGTGAGTAGGTTCTTTAACGTCCCCTGCCTAAATAAATTAACTAATTACTAAAGACAGGAGACGGGACCTACAGTTTATTTTTCCTTATCCGAGAAGACTAGAATGTCTATTCATTTCCTGATATTATGGAAGGGAGCACATTCTCCTCAGTTATTTAAAGACCTTCAGCGTTGGTCCAGCCGGGGCTCGAACCCTTGACCTCCTGCATAACAGTCCAGTGCTCTAATCAGTTGAGCTAACTGAGTAACCTCATTCCCAGGGTCTCTCATCTTCCTGCCCCCTGGAGCGAGTGAGGAGGGGGCGGGAAGATGAGAGACCCTGGGAACGAGGTCGCTGACTGGGAGGCAATTATTAATGGGTATCCTGTGTTCTGGCCCAGTTACCAACCGTTTCCCCTCTCCACTAAAATACCCACGCTCAAAACGAAGATGAAAGTTAGAGGGAAGATGTTTCAGCAGCCATAAACATATAGGGCCGGAAAGAAATCTAATAGGAAGAAAACTTACTTATTCATAAACAGTTCTCGCGAAAATTTAAACACCTCAAGTAATGCGTCAAACCCTCCTTCTTGTACAAAAAAGTGCCTGTGGGCAACAGTCTTGACACATTTCCACGGATGGAAAAATACAGCTGCAAGTTTCTCCAGAGCAACCTGCAGACGATAGAAAAATCTCAGTAGGCCAGTAAAGTCGTTTTCTATGCGGCTGTCATTGGGAAGCTGTCTCTCAAGCACGTCCACAATTTCCTTAGCAGCACCTTTTAAGGCATTTAATTCGCTTTTCATGCCGCTGATGTCCACAGAGGAGAGAAAATTTAACTTAAAATGGTCACCCTCGCGGAAATACAATCTGCTGAGAAGCAGACTATCGTCTGTTAATAATCGATCCTGGTAAAACAGTCTTTGATCGCACACTGGAGCCTGAATGGCATCTTGAATGGCAAACTTGACATTTCTGATGCTAATGCCCTCAGAGCGTGGAAACGAAAGTTTGATTTTGCCGGTTTCTTCTTGATATTCACTGCTATACTCCACGAACAACTCCATTGTGTTTCATGGAGGGAGGAGAATGAACTTGCAAAACACTACGCTTAAAAGAATAACTCCAATGATTTTCAAGAGCTCTGCATAATGACTTCGCAAAACATAACACAAAACCGGGAAAGCAATATTCCGAACTTACCTTCCCATCGTGCTTTGTGGGAGTCATCACGCAGCACTTGGCCCGACATTGCATGACAGAAACGTATTAACGCGACCCTCTCCACCTTGTTCCCAGTTTAATTTTTTTTCTCTTGCTCTGATCCTATCAAGAAAGTACTACCCTGGCTACCCTGAAATAAGACAGGTCTCAAAGGTGGATGGTGGATGTGGTTGGCGACCTCCCTGCCCAAAGTATAAAACAAAGCAAAAGAAAGAGAGAGAAGGAAGGGCTTTCACAAAAATAAAAGTGTAACTAAAGTTGCACAGGTAATTTGTCAAGGTAATTTTTTTCAAGACAACATAATGTTCCTTGTAAAATACCTTTAATGTGCACCACTCTACTACTACTACTACTACTACTACTACTACAGATGAAAACACTACAAACAAATCTGTTTTTCTTAGCAAGCAAAGTGATCAACAATACACGACTTTGGCAACTGTGGTTCCATCAACAAATAAAATACAATTTTTTTGTTTTGTTTGTTTGTACGTTTTGTTTTTTTTTTCAAAAAGTGCAACTGTAGTTTAGCTTTACTATCTGGTTTTAATCAGCTAATGCCTGTTGGGTGTTGGTTACTGTTTTTTCATTTTCCTTTGATCGCACTGAGGAACAAAATCATGTCTTGCTACAGGTCGCCTATTTCTCTAAAAGAATAACCCCAAAATTTTCCAAGCCTCATTCAAATCAAGCCACAAACATTTTCTAGTAAATAGAATTAAACAGGAACAGATCATTGATAAAAATCAATCAAGATCATTAACAGACTACTTTTGTTACCCAAGGTCAGACTTTAATAATAATTGTAATTTTATGGCAGCATTCTTAAGGGAAGATCCTTTGATTCAGAATGTTACAAACAAGGGTTAAAGATGCAGTCTTAGTCCTGGATCAATCCTTGCCAGGTCTTCCCCTTTTATTCACAGAATCACTAAAATGACAAAGACTAATCAGCGAATCTTCAGGATTCCTGCTTCATACAGCCTCTGTATTCGGCTGCGGATCTCTGGATTCTTGAGATGCCTACCGAGAATACAAATAAAAAGCCCTTCAATTAATTTTACTGCTCTAAGACCAGCAAAGATTTGCATGTTAATCGCTTCTAGGAGTAAAAAGGTAATGGATGACAATATGGCAGACAGTATTAAAAAGCAAATACATACTCGTGGGCAGCTTTGGGATCCTCCTGCATTTGATCGAGTATAATTTTCATGGCTGGATCAGTGAGAATTTCCTACACAAAAAACAACAAGTAAATTGTGAACTTATCAACCTAACTAACTCTTTCATCTCTTGTAAGATTTAAAAAGACTGTGTTATAAAATCAATAAGTTTTTAAGGGATAAGTTTCTCTCACTCAGGCAACTGAGCCAGAACCCATAGCCCGAGCCAACCTCTCCCCTAAACATATTAATTTTCCGGTGGGTAGAGGAAAGCATGTCATCATGACATGAGCCTGCTCACAGGCCACTGACATGCCAAGTTCAATCAGCCCAAAAATATTACACTCTCTACAGATGTTACTTGATAAAAGACAATTGTGAAAAGTAATCCCTATAGAGGACGATCACCCTCCTTTTGTGTTAAGATCAATCTCATTAACTTCACCTTTAGCATCACTGTACCTGTATTTCAGGATCATTATTAGCTCGCTGTCTTATTTCCTCTGGGTCTGTAGGCTGTTGCATCACTGCTAAATTACATGCTCTTATGCCTTCAGTTGCTTCCTGGAAACCCATACAACAAGAATTGTACCATAAGGATGTGAGCAAACACAATATTACTGCCTTAAAAAAAACCTAAAACAATTGAATTATTTGTAGCACACCATACTGTGGAGAAGAAAACAGCAATCAGACTGTAGGCTGCAACAGCAAAACACGAGAAAGTGAGACACTTATTTTTCTTCCAACCATTTTTTCGCTTTTCCACACTAATGACTAGTGCAAGCAGATCTTTATATTTACTAATTATCTATAACCTTATTGCCAGGATCCAATTCCAAAGCTTTCTCATAGGTTTTCTGTGCATCTCTGAATCTCTTCAGTGCATAAAGAACACCTCCTTTTCTTGTGTATCCTTTAACTGTAAACAGATGATCCCAACAGAGAGAATGAGACAACTGATGGTTTATTCTAGAAGTATCCACCATAAAAAGTACCACAGACTATGACATTTTTCAAGTCTCCTTTGTTGTTTAGTCTGATGAAAGTGTGGTGTGGAAAAATGAAATAATTCTATGAGACAAAACCAATATCAACCATGAAGGAGCCTTGAGTTTGTACCACTTACCAAATGAAGGATCCAACTTGATGCACATATCACAGTCCTAAAATGAAAGTACAAAATGAGGGCAATGTACGAGACAATTAAGAGGTAAACAAAGAAAACAAAGTTAAATTAGCTTGTAAATCTTAGTGGGGAAGGCAAGTTAGGGTTGACACCTTGCAAACATTTATTAACCCTAACATCAGTCTCCATATTTTCCAAACTCTACTCTATATGTTTCCATTGGTGCTAACAAGGAGAATTTGTGAAACAATCAGACCTATACTCTTATGATCTTACTGAGTAATTTAGCAGTATTACTGTGAGTAGAAATTAGAAGCTGATCACTGTTGGGGTTTAGAAGGTTATTATCAATAGGGAAAGATTAGGGGGTTCAAAAGGGGGTGAATTCCTCCGATTTACTCTTCCCCTCTTTCACTTTCACCTTGCCAATTCCACATCAAATCATAACAATCAAAGTAATGAAATCTCTATGAAACACACCTCCAAAGCTAAGTTGAAAGCAGCCAATTTCTGATAACAGGCTGCTCTGTTACTGTAGAGTTTTGCATTGTTTGGGTCTCTCTTGATGGCCTCTTTATAATTTTTCAGTGCCTCAGGAAAATCCCCTTTAAAGGAAATGCCAAACAAAATACAAGTCAAAAAACAAGTAAAACTCTAGAAACAACAAGCTCTTGCAGAAAAAAAAAAAAAAAGGTATAAATGTAGACAAAGATATTCACATACATCAAAATGGTTTTCAAACAAAGGTCCCATAACCTTACCTTTTTTAAATAACACATTTCCTTTCTCTTTCTCTTCCTCAGCTTTCTGTGGATCAATGTATGCTAGTCTCTCCTGTTCCTTCATTGCCTTCTCTGCCTGTAAAATCAAACCATTTTCTCTCACTTAAATAACGTAGCTCCATTTTCTGCCTTTAAAAGCACACACAACCCACAATTCCTCTCTTCGCTCCGACGAAGGGCTAACGCTCGAAACGTCAGCTTTTGTAATCATTACGGTGGCCAATTTACCATTTCAACTTTGTTGATATGTCTAAATTTGATATTGTGCAGAGGGTACAAACTCCACCCATATCATTCAATCCCATGACTCTCTGTGGTGTTTGTTTCCACACCTAAAGTTTCAGTGTTCTCAGTAGCCTTTTAAAAGCTGATTCCAAAATCATTTGACAATGATCATGTATTGAAGAAATTTTTTCCTTTTTGTTATCTTAAGTATTGTTGTTAAGTTTTCCCATCACTTCCCTTGCCTCGCATCCACATTCCATGAGTTTAAAGGCCTCAAATATGACATTCAGACCCTACATGCGCTGCTTACGTTCATTGGCAAAAAATTTTTTCTCTCATTTCCTATGACTTTCCAGACAAGAACAATTAAATTCCAGCACTTTCCAGGTTTTGCATAGATTATCCAGAACAAACCCTGTGTGTGGCACCACATTACCTCCTGGACCTTCTTTAAAACATCAGCAGACCTGTGCTCAATTAAAGACTTGTTGTAAGCTTCAATAGCCTCTTTCAGTTTTTTTTGCTTGGAATAAGCATTTCCTATCCGGGCAAAAGCTCTGAAAAGCACAACAAAACAATTCTATTGCGGCCTGGAGAGGTTCATCGTCAAAAGAAAGAGAGATAATGGCCTTAGTAAATAGTGTTAGTCATGCCAAGACTGAAAATTCTCAAATGCCATAATTTATTTTGTCAGCAAAAATGGCTTGACAAAAAAGAATCATGCTTTAGGTCCATGTATATACAAAGAATTTCTAACAAGGTATACAAAAGAATAATATAAGAAACTCTGAATCCTTAATAAGTTACACCAACAAAACACTAACACTCCTAAGAAACGTTTTTACTTACTTAGCTATCAACTTATAGTCCACTTTTCCATCGCTTCCCACTTCGATTGCCTTGTGACATTGTTCAATGCACTCATCATACCTCCCTTGTTCAAAATAGACCGCTGAAAGAAATGAATATTTTGCCAATCAGTATCAATCAATCACAAGCTCTTAAATCCAGGATTCCCAGCTCTCAAACAAACCTGCCCTGTTGGTGAGAAAGCTCATATTTTTGGGATCAAGTTTTATAGCTTTTCCATAATGATCCAGAGCTGTTTCAAAGTCTTTTCGTTTGTATGCAGCATTTCCCAACTCCTTCTCCTCCAAAGACTGCCCAAAAAAAACAATAGTTGGATGAAGTCTAAAACGCCTTTAGCCCAAATACTAGTAGCCATTAAAGAGGACAAAATTTGAGGAGGATGGAAGAAAAATATTTGAACTACAACCATTCTTCAAATGTATACCAACCTTTTTGACTGAAATATCAATTTCTGGTTCAGGTTCTGGTTTATCTGTTTCCATGGGTTCACTAGCTGGTTTTTCTTCTGATGACGATGGGGGTGGCACAGGCTCTTTAAATGTCACATAACAAAATTAATTTTAAAACATCTCAAGAAAATGTAAATAAATTTTAAGGGTAATCAAAATCCCTTTTCAATTAACTTGAAAGCTCTCTTAATTAAAGAACAGATTTCATTTAAAACACTGAATACCTTCACTGTCTGCCACTTCAGATTCAATCCCAAGCAATATTGCTACTGTTTGCATGATTCTGGGGTCCTGAAGATATCTATTGAAAATTGATATTCCAAAATAAATAAAAAATGATTGGTATCAAACAGAATGGAAATTTTTATATTTATACGTTTTATCTTTTCTTTTATTTTGTAGAAGCTACATCACTTGAAAAATGGTACACTTTGAATAAAACAAAACAGGTAGAAGGTAATCACCCAGTAGCATCTGTTTTTGATCAATGAGAAAGGTCAAAATACCCAAATAATGGAAACACACTGTATTTTTCTGTACAAACTTAAAATCATGCGATTTGTTTAGATATGGATCAAAATACAACAACTTACGTTCCAAGCATCTGAGGGTTTTGCCTAAGAACCTCAATAATAGTTCTGTAGTCAGGCTGATCCAGGAAAGCTTTGGTTTTGGGATTAGTCGCAAGACGAACATACAAGTCAGGTATTGCGAATGGATTCATCATTGGATTATTGCCTATAAATTGTATTAACAAATAATGATGGTCAGATGATGAAAACTAACAAAATGTCTGGGTCCAGTTGTTCAAAGGGATGATAGCACTATACAATGGATAAATTGCTATCCAGTGGATTAGACAATGGCATCCATTATAATGTGGTCACAAACTATTTCTTATTTTCCTCCACTTTTAAACTTATTGACAGAGCTTACCACATTCATTGATGAAAACCCTGTATCACAAACACATACCAGCTAGAAGATACATGCGTCATTAACCAAGTGTCAGGTCAAGATGGCTGGATATTGGCCAAGTTCCTTTTTATGCATTTTTATGGTCCGAGACAAAGTAAGAGTATTGACCAAACAAGCTTGGTTAATAAAAGATTTATTACATTGCAAAAAGATTTTCCTTTATTAGCCTATTGACGTCCAGTGCGCCCGTATGCGCCCATGTGGACCCACACCCTTTCTACGCCTTGTGACGTCATCACTTTTAACCCTGGAGCACAACTTTGAGCACGCACTTGAACAGGTTGAAAATATCTTACAAACCATACCAGAATGAGTGCAATTAAGTGAAGGAGATTGGAGAAATAGCCGAAAAACCATGTAACTTTGACCTGAAAATCTGCATGAAAATCTTGTTCCATTACCCACCTACCTTTCTGAGCATGTGGTTTGAAAATAATGAGTAGTTTCCTAAAAAATCTCTACACCAAAATGAAGCCTACTAAATTTCCAGCAAGTGAGGAGAAATTTCAGGCAAAGAGTAGGGAAAAAAAGGGGCAGGAGAAAGAGAAGAAAGTAAAAGACGTAAGTGGGGCATTTCTTTTCAACCCAAAAACTCGAAATTTTGCTTTCTGCGCATGCCCGAGATTTTCAGGCCGCCATTTTGCATTTGGATCGAAAGGCCGTCAAGTGTACAAGCTGTCAATGGGTTTGTGGTAAGTTTGAGCTTTTAAAACCACAACAGTGACTCGAAATCTGCTTGAATAGCTTCAAAACACAGTTTTTCACAAACGCTGTGGCCATTAATGGGTTAAGAATTAAGAATAACTTGTTTACTTCGAGAAGCGGGAAAGAAAGCCAACTGTGTTTGTAGCACACCAAACTCACAAGGGTCGTTTGTGTTTTCTTTTTTTTTTTTATCTTCTGCCACTTTTCTGTTTCCATCGCCGAAATTGTCCAAGAATCTTGAAATTATTTCTGATCCAATTTTTTCAAACGCGAGATCAATGCGGACAATCTTGAGCGGGCAAGATGGGCCCATCTTGCCCACTCTGGTAACCAATCAGACCACAAGATTCCTTTCATCTTGCCCAAGGGTACTGCAAGTGATGTAATAAGTGGTGTTATTGTGTGGAAGAATTGCAAACAAGCAATCACCAGATACATAGTCAAGTCTCATGTCAAGATCTAAAATTAACTTTTCACTTCCCCAAAATTCCCCTTGCAGTCTGCTGTAAAATTCTAAAGATGTTAGTTTATAGAATTTAGCATTGGATCAACTTATAATCCCTATCATTGATATTTTTCTTAATTCTTATCACTTGTCTGCTAGATATTGTATTGATATTGTAAGGAGAAATTCTGTCTTGGTCACTCATGAGAGTTAAGGGTTAACACCGCAAAAACAGAAAAAATATGGAAACTGAAAGCAAAAAAAAAAAAKACTCATAATCAGAACGTTTATATAATACTTACGCTGTGCCATAGCCCTGGCTTCCTCTAAACTACTTTTCAGTTGTGCATTTTCGGGGTCCAGCTGAAGTCCTTTGGTGTATGCCTTTTCTGCCTCATCATAACGTTTCAGAAAGGAATAAGCTGCACCAAGCCTAGAGTAACCCTAAAAGAAAAAAACAGAATATTACAAAAAGCACCAAGCCTGTCACATATGAGTCTAAATAGCGTATCTATCGGGTGGTTAACATTTTATTGTACTTTCTATAATCAGCAAGAACAAATGAGACTATGTGTCTGTAGCAATACAGAACTAATAAACGCCATGGGAAAAGCAAAGTGGAGGTAACGTTACAAAGAATCGCCTCGGCACAGGTAATCTAAAGTTGCAAAACAAAAAAATTAGTTGAGTAAAACAACAGTTAAAATTTTACTGTGGTACAAATGCCGGTGTGAACAACAATTAACTTGTACATGCTCACGATACTACCATAACTTAATAAGTAACTATACAACAAATCGAGATTATTTGTAACCTTTCCCCAATCCGGTTTCAGTTCCACACACTTTTCTGCGTCGCTCAAGGCTTGTTCATACTTTTGATCCTTAGCGTTGGCAGCCGATCGATTGCTGTACAACACATGATTTGACGGGTCAAGTTGAATCGCCTCGGTGTAGCACTCGATCGCTTTGGTGAAATCTCCAGCCTGGAGAAATTTATTACCCTTGTCTTTCAGCTCGGCTGCCTGCAAGACAGTTAAAATTTGCATCAGACAGTTTTTCGCAAAGAAATCCACCCGATTTACTAGTAAAAATACTTTACAATTGGTATACCTTGGCAGCGTCAGCCATTTTTCGCTTCCACTTTGCACGTGTTCACTGAACATGCGTCGCACTGAGAAATTTGGAAGACTTGAGACCAACTGGGAACGAATGGGTGGAGTGTGAATCACAGCTTTTTTCCCAGTCTTTTACCGAAAGACAACAAAAGCTTCCATAGGATAAGAAAGATGGTTAATTTTTTGGCAAGCACATCCCATACATTTGCATGATTCTCTCGACTTAACGAAAAAGTCTTAGATTGACTGACTGACACGTTTGTCCCCATCCTCGGAGACCCAGGGGCTGTGGGTCGATTTCAAGTTAGGGCATGAAGAGCTCTTTATGCCCTAACTTGAAATCGAGCCACAGCCCCTAGGCCTCCGAGGATGGTTTGTCCCACGATCTCGTATTCACAGAAGGGTAACAAGATCATGTAATCTGCTCCACATCCCACGATGCCGCCTGTCCTCTGGGCAACGTGCATTCACGTAGCGTGGAATAACCTCCCAAAGGACTTAAAAGCAGCTGAGAATGTAAACGCCTTCAAGCTCCGCCTACTGAATGCGCTCCTTAGTGGAAATGTTGCGCAAAGATTAATCGTTTCTATCTTCTTTTCTTGTGTAATTTTTGTATTAGTTCACTAGTGTTTTTAACGTGTACTGGCCTTTTGTATTTATATTGTACTAGCTTTAGATTTACTTATATATATACATATTTAGTAATTACTGTATTTGTTTATATGTGTTACCACGCCCTATATAAATCTATTTAAGGAATTTTTAAGTCATTGTATTACAACTGATGAAGGTCTCGGACCGAAAAGTTTTTTATTAAACTTTTTAGAATTTTTACTGAGTATATGTCTTCCTTTGCTCGAAGTTCTCCGTCCTCGTGTGCCACACTACTTCTCCTACCATTTATCGAGGTTTGGACTGTGAATCCTTTTGGATCCTTCTGGCGCTGCGTCACTGTTGGCTCGAGGCCTTTTAACTTGTTATATATATAATGTTACTAAATAAATGTTACTATAACATTACAATAATTTAATGTAGGTTTTGTAACTGAAAAACCCAGCTTGGGAGTTGCAATAAACGTATGTATGTATGTCAAGGTACTTCCCTCTGAAGCCAATTCTTATTTCGCCCTCGTTTTCTATTGTCACGTAACGTGGTTAAGTGCAAAATATCAGTTAATTTTATGATTCCTCTGGGGAAAAACCCTTACAACGAAAAGTAGGAAATTGCTCAGAAAATGAAATAATCGTCATTTAATAATTCATAAGCGTGAAATTGCATCTTTTGAAATGAAAATTGACATACTGAACACAATTATTTAACTCTTATTTAACTAATTACAATTTACATTTGCAAATAGGAAAACGAACAACCGTAAAAAATGAGCCGTCATTTAATGAATTCAGAGGCGTAGAATTACACACCTTGTTTTCAACGAAGATTTCTGAGGATAACAAGCAAAGCTGACAAACAAGGTCGACAGATTGAAGTTTGAAATAAGTATACATCTTTGTTCCTGTTTTGTTGTACGAGTTACTGGCGGAAGTTGTTATTTTTACGATGTTTATCAATACTTAATCATCTTGTTTAAGGTAATTCTTATTGGTTTTCTTTGTTTTAAAGCATGTGTATTATATTCTACGGTAAATGAAATATTTGTAATTATAAGTAGAACAAACAAAAACAGAAAAGCTAATTAAACTTATCGATATTTTACACAGACTTGACAACCGTGAAAAAATTACATGAGAGTTAATGAAATACTCGCACTGTTATTTAAGAACAAATCTTGTTGACTGATGAACCCAGTTAAGGGATTAAATGCCACGAGAGTGAACAAAGTTTTAGTATAAACCGACGGACTCTGGAAGAGAGAGATCGACTGGTATCAGTGAGTAAGATTTTCGTGTAGACTAACTTTAACTACAGAATCTGCTTTCAAAGGGCTCTACAAAATCGGAATAACCGATCACCATGATTAAGTTTACTGAATTTGTTTTCGAAATTTGCCTACAGTGTGATTTACTTTTTCGATAGAGCAGTTTCCATCTTTTATTCTCTTTCCTCAAAAGATTGGATGCTTCGATTAAGGTCCGTTCCATCATAGTCTCCCTCGCCTTCTCCACCGTCGCTCTCAACGTTCAATGAACGCTTCGTTCTGGGAAGTTCGCGATCCTTGAAGATTCTCTTCAATACATCTTTGAGCTCTCCAAGATGATCAGAGGCCTTTTTGAACTTGATCAATCGTCGGTAGCAAGCTTTACAAAGTTTTTATCAAACTTCTAATAATTGACCATGATTTTGGCGGATTACCTAGTCTTTTGGTGATCTAAATTTGACCTACTAGAATGTCTAGAAACACTTGCGTAACATAAATTTGAAAAAAGCTCTCCTTTGATTAAATGAGTCAAACGTTTTTATCACTTGCAATGACTAATTCAACTGGCCAAGGCAAGAACATGGATCTACAGTTAAAGATTAAAGCTGTAGCTCCAGAGTTTCAATTCAGGACAATTTAACATCACGAAACTATCGATATGTGAAAAATTATCATGGTCTGTGATTTGTTTTGTTTTGTTTTATTTCCTTTTTTATTTCCTTGTTTGTTTCTTTGTTTTTTGTTACAGAGATTTTTGCACAAAGCGGAGATGAAATCTTTCAGTGCTTTGATATTACTGGCTTTGGGTTATGTAGTCACAGCAGGTCAGTGCAACGTATACTTGACAGGTTAAATGAGACAAAATTAAAATCGTAACTAGAAAAATTAAATTAAAATTACGGCATTCTTTGTCTCTTCCAGCATCTTTCGAGAGTAACTTTAGTAGCACCTTTGGGAACAAAGGCAACGGGTGTTTCAATAACTTGAAGACAACCTTCATGATCTTCACGAGATTTTGTAGGGATTAGCTCATCAAAAAAAACAAACCACAGATAGCTGACAACTTAAAATGGTGCAAGATTGTCGTAACAAGCAATGCTACATGTAGGTCTGAAGAATCGTTCATTTACCTGGAAAGGCTTTTGCATCCAAAATGCCCCCTGATTAAAATCAGATGCATCTCGACCTGATTTCTGCTAAGTTGATGAGGTTTTGATTTGAATCCTTAAATCCTGGGCGTCTGCCCGATTCGGTCTCCAAAAGAAGGCGTTTCGTCGTAATCCTTTTGGACTAACAATAGGTTCACGTGATAGGTCAAATTGACAGGTATCAATTACGTCTTCAGATTACAGGAGGGAAGCCGTAGAACAACACAACCGTCTTCGTGCAATTCACGATGCCCCAGAAATGACCCTTAACAATGAGATGAGTGAGGGTGCTGATCAGTACGCCCACAGACTGTTCCAGATGTTTGGTGTAAACATGGGATTGAAACACTCACCCAAGGATTCCCGCCGGGGCCAAGGAGAAAATTTGGCAGTAGGGTGTACCACTGCAAGAGTAGCTGAAGGAAGGTCTGTCGAAGATGCTATAAAATCTTGGTAAGTGTAACAGCAGTATATCAGTTACTAACTCTTATAACGCAAACTGAAGACAAAGTTATAAGGAGAAGTAAGTCCGAGGGTGTCACTCCCCGTTTCTCGGAAAAAGTAATTATCTAGTGCTCGACAGTAATGGAGTTGTAATAACAATGTTTTTCTACTCAATAAAAGTTACATATGGACTTTAATACAGGTCTGTTTCGTAGACCGACAAGAAGTTGGACCACTCATCAGTTAAATTCCATATACACTGCAGCATCGCTTGAGTTTATATACATCGGCAGCATGATCGTTACAAAATTTAAACTATGATTGGTTCTTAAGGATGCGGTTGAATCTAAGGAGAAAATTTCGCTTATGCCTGCAAGTTGATACGAGTTCATTACGTTTGTTGAGCGTTTCCATTTCTGGTTTATATAGAATATAGAATTTTTCGGTAGTACATAGGTTACATCGTTAAGTAAGATTGCTCTAAGATTTGACCTTGTCTAGAATCTAGACAAGACTAGATTCTAGAGTTCATGCCCGTCTGTTTGTTTATTCGTTTGTTTGTTTCCTTTGTTCTGTAGGTACGATGAAGTATGTAGATACAACTTCAACGTTCATCGTTTTCAGTCTGGCCTTGGTCACTTTTCCCAGTTGGTTTGGAAAGACTCCACAGAGCTCGGAATAGGAAAATATACAGGCAAGCAGAGAGGCAAGACCTGCACATATATCGTGGCTCGTTACCGAAAAGTTGGAAATGTGGAAACTCCAGGTGGAAGACTTTTCCGTGAAAATGTTTCGAAAGGATCCTTCAGGCGGTCCTATTGCAATAATTTGTCGGATAAATCTGTGGGAGAAGCCGAATATATCAGTGCATCTTATGATGATGATGATGATGATGAGGCGTCCAGTTGAGGCTATTATCTTTTGAGGCAGTTTTGAAATTCTTCGGTCTTGTTTTGGTATCTGTAAAGCTTGTATCCAAACAAACAAGAAGAAACTATTAAAGGCTTCATGAGTCGCAAATATTTTGTTTGTCTCTCGCTGTATTTATCTTATAGCGGGGCACCCACGCGCGTGTGGAGCAGAGCCCCATATCCATGGAATATGGTCAACCTCTTTTCGTTTGGTTGTCACGTGACTGACCGAGCGTACGTACGTACGTGTCTTCAGATTGCACGGGTAGGGTAGGGAAGACTATCAAAACGAAGGGAGGGGTGTCTCAGCCGAGTCTTGGCAAATGCACATGGCCCCAAAAATATTTTTCTCACCTTGCCTTACACGTTTTAATTTTTTCACAACTATGCCTGTTCCTGTTCGTAAGTCCGGCCAAGCCTCCATGGTCATCGGCCCCCATAACTTTGGCTTATAAATACAGGCGTTTAGTTATACTTGTAAAACTCGCTGAAGAAGTCTACAACACTTAGACGAAACGCGTTGGAAAATAAAAGAAGTTTTACAACTACTGTTCGCAGAAGTGCTCCTCACTAGTCTATATTTAAAAAATTGTTTAAAAAATTAATTAAAAAACTTATGACGCCACATCAAATATCGTATCTTCTGTTGTGAACAGAGTCATCACCGCTGCCGCTGGCACCGACATTCTCGCCGTGATAATCATCCTCCCCTTCTTCATCATCCTCAAAATCTGGAATATGTCTTTCTTCTTCTATTATCTCTAGAAAAAGGTTACAAGATAATCAATACAATATTGTTAACCGTGGATCGCGGGAAACTGTGAATCCCTATCTCAGATAAGTATCTAAGCGGGGGTAAGGCAAAACTGTCCGGTGAAGAAAATAATAAGTGTTCTAGACTTCTTCACTCTTTACTTTAGTGATAATCATATATTTCTTCTTAATTTATCTCTGTTATTTATCGGTATTAGTTTTCGGTGTTATTTATTTGTATCATTTATCCGTATTTATGAGATTAAGGGCGCAGCCAAACAAGCTTGCTAAGTTGCATGTAACCCTCTGCTTCCGATAATTTTAAGTAGTAAAGCATCCAGACATGCCTATATTACCAGCGAGACGCTACTTTACCTAGTAAGAATCACTGTTTTCATCACTGGAAAGAATGAAAAGTGTATACATGTGTCATGGTGTTACACAGGAACTGCCCAGCCTCATTCAGGAGACCTATTTTTGATCGAATACTCGATAGAATAATTCGATCTGAGCGGACAAAATTGGCGCTCTAGGAACTCGGCACTCAAGGAATTCACGCTGAGAGACCGCTATTAGCCTGATAGTTAACAACTTTTTACCGAAGTGTAGGTAGTTAGTGGTGGATATTTACCAATGCTGCGATGAATGGTTGTTTTAGCATATACTAAAACGGTGAGATAATATACACCACTAAAAATTTATTTGAGTGATTTCTTCGCTTGTCACGGATGCCAACCGGGACGCCATTTTTTCCCGAGTTGCTCGGAGGTAAATAGCAAAGAATAATCGGACTTTGACTCGCCAATCAGAGCGCGCCTTCAACGCTATCCACTGTTTTAGAATATACTAAAATGGAATATCAATGCAAATCGATGATACATACGTATGTTACACCATTCTCCTGTGAAGCCTGCAGGACAAAGACAGCGGTATCCCTTTTTAGTAAATCCAGACTGGCATGTGGAATTTAAGAAGCACTCCGCTTGCAAACATACATTCTGAAATAAATAACGGGAAACTGCGATGAAAGAAACAATGAGCTCCTCGCATTAAAACAAGACAATTATAACAACATCAGTATTCAACAATCAGTTCGCCGGATGTTGATATCCCTGCTCTGCAGAGTCACCTAGATCGATTGAACACGTGGGCAAATAAATGGCAGATGCACTTCAATCCGGATATATGCGAGGTCATGCGTATTACACATAGAAAGGATAAAACTAAACCAATTTACTCGCTGAGGGGGCAATTTGGGTCGATAGAGAACACTAAGGACCTCGGAGTAACCATCTCTTCTGACCTGTCCTGGGGCATGCATGTATCTGCAACGCTAAATAAGGCAAATATGGTACTAGGTATCATAAAGCGGTCCATCGGAACTAATAACCAGTACTTGTTTTCGCAGCTCTATAAGTCACTGGTCAGGCCCATACTGGAGTATGCGGCTCCTGTTTGGAGTCCGTATTTGATTAAGGAAATTACGGCTCTAGAAACGGTTCAACGAAGAGCTTTACGGCTAGCTTTAAGACAGAAACGAGGCGAAATGAATTACGAACACCGTTGTAGCTTACTAAAATGGCAAACACTAGAAAAGCGGAGAGAATTTCTATCCCTGGTTCAATGTTATAAGATGTATTTTGGTATTGATCACCTCTCTTTCCCAGATTTCTTTGTGTTTGCCAATAAGCGTGCAAGAGCTAACCACGACTATAAACTTTACCTGAAAAGAGCGGTTTGTAATTGTTACAAACATTCATTCTTTATTCGCATTGTGGGGAAATGGAATAGCCTGCCAGGATACATCGTACACGCCGAATCATTGTCTGTTTTTAAGAGTAGACTCAAAATTTATTGGAATTTTTATTGAATATTTATTGAATCTGTAGCCATTAAATTTTATCTTTTGTATGTTTTTAGTCAGGGAAATTGTTTTTATACAGGGCTAACCTCACGATTTTCCCTTTTCAGGATGTATTTTTTTACATTTGCGTTGTAGCTTCCTGAATAAATGTTATGTTATGTTATATTTACATTCGTCCCCAGATGAAGATATCCTTCACGGAAAATTAATGCATCAGATTCTTTGTGTCCACCAGCATCACAGAGCTCACAGCTTCTCTTGTTGTTTTCTTTTCTTGGTCCCAGGTTCAACGAAATACAGCTCGGTTTCAGATAACATTTAAACTGACACATCTCCAGATCTGACACGTCACTAGTATGTATCACGTGACCTTGTAATGCTTTGTCTTTTACTGGCGGCGAGAATTGCAGATGACGACAATTGTCTGATAGATTACAATGAAACAGTTGAAAAAATTTTTTTTGGAATCTTCCCCTTTGATATCAGACATAAAACTGAAAGATTTCACTCTCTCGGAGCCCTTAGTTAAAAATCCACTATACAATCACTTCTAAAGAAAAAAAAATAGTCTTTCGAAATGATGCACATATCAAGAATTGTCTTGTGAAAGAAACATGTCTGAAAGGTACGAAAATACGAGCCATAATCAACCATTTTTTTTCCTGGAAATCAATTGTAGTTTTGGAAATCTCGTTTGCTTTGATATTGCTTTGCGATCTCTCAATCAATGAACCAGACAGTTTACAGGTGGCACAGTACTGTACTTTCTAATAATCCTTGCGAACTTACAATTAGCTTTGACGAACTCAAAAATCTGTGAGAGAGGTATAAATGATAAAAACAGATGAAGTTATCTTATTTTAAAGCAGTTTTTGGATGATCCGGTGATTTGGAGACCCGAAAGCGCCTGGTACCTTCACTACGAATGGCATTTATGTAAAGTTTACAGATTTTTCACTTAGATGAGATTTTTACTAATTTCAAGATGTCCAAGAATTTTCTCTGCGTGAATTCTTTTTGAAACCACATTTTATTCATCTCTAATGCATATAGAAGGGGTTAGACATTTTCTGTGGTTCACGGCGGGCCTAGTGACAAAGAAAACCAAATCATTCTGGTTCTTTCTCTAATATTATTTGTGAACTATTTACTACAATAATATGAATGAGCACAAAAGGTAAATGGCTGGAGAGCTCTATAGTTGAAAAATGAAATCTTTTTTAATATCTTCTCAGTCATGGTTCATATCCATTTGAAAACTGAAAAAAAGTGACATTGAAACGAAAAAATCAAGTTTGTGGAGACAACTTGATTGTAATGTACAATAGAAGCATTTGATCGGTAAAATCATGCTGAAATGTCTTATGACTGAAGCAGGGTAGAATTCAACATTGGAAAAACTGGCAAAAAACATTTAGATCTATAACCAATGTTGTAACAGACTAAAGAAGTTTAAATTCGACTCGAAAAGGGACAAAAATAAAACAAAATTAAACCTTACCTTCAGTACCATATGACGAGGCAAAGCAAAGTACAAATTTAAAAAAAAGACGAACTAACGATACTGACGTCATGACAATCACCGCAAGAGAAGTTTGTTAGCATCATCTTATTCAACGTGTAATGTCAAGAAAGAGATAAGATTCAATCAAAAAATTGATAACAGGTGTTTGGAATGTTTACTGTTGGGCTTTTCATTTCGTAAGTTTTGCTTGATTGTTATTCAGAGTCTCACACGGAGAGCTTTGTTCTTTGAGCAGATATTTGGTTTTCAAGCCTGTCAGAGTATTAGATGATACCGTAGTGACTTTGAAACAAACACGAAAAGCTGACTTTGTTTACATATGTAATTTGAATATATGAACAAAGTTGAAATGGTAAATTGGCCACCGTTACAATTACAAAAGCTGACGTTTCGAGCGTTAGCCCTTCGTCGGAGCGAATAGAGGAATTGTGGGTTGTGTGTGCTTTTAAAGGCAGAAAATGGAGCTACGTTATCAGCCTTTATTCATTTGTTTACATATGGTTACGAAAGTTGACAGGGAAGATGAAGCACTCTCCGTGTTCTTAATGCTAATAAAGTCTCTAAAAAATGGATAGATAAAAAATTGGGAGGAAGTTTCCTTCAATTCACCATAACGAAACCGAAAAGAAGTTTAACTCCCGAAAGGTCTATTTTAGGGACTAAACGGATCAACAACGCTGGGTGTGACGTGGTTTCAACTCAACTCCTCTCGTTCAAACGTCAACAACGCCTTTGCTTTTCCCTTACAAGTAGTCAATGAGCATTTCAGTAAGAAAAGAAGCGTGGACTTTGCACGATTTCTAATTTGACACTAGTTACAATACATCCAGATAATTCTCCAAACGACGAAAATAATACCTGCCACATGACCCAACAGTTACTATACTTACACTACCGACCGATATCACAAACTTACTGCGCTATCAATAATGCTCACAGGGCGTAAGATATCGTTTGTTGTGATATTTCTTACAACAGACATAGCTGAAGAACAACCAGAAAGAAATGTTTATCCAACTCGATATTTCACATCTGATTTTGTTTATTATGTCAATAACAATATATGGTGACGAACAAAACAGATTGCAATAACTGTAAGCACCTACAACTACTATCGTAACAGAACATTACAAAACATGTCGCGGCTATGAGCTAGAATACTCCTCAGTATAATTTTCTGAATTGTGCCGAAACAGTCGAATGCACGCTCAGCTGTAAATGGTTTAATTGCAACCTAGAAACTGGAGAAAAGCTAGCTCATCTTCGCGGAGCTGAGTTGGGTGAACTAAATCAAAACGTTTATGCAAAAAGGGGACTTTTATAGATTGACTTCAGGGTTAGAGGGAATGACATGGAATCACGCAGTTATCTAAAAAGTGTTAACTCCGTGATATAAATGGCAGACCACCCCTTAAAAACGCCTCTTCATCATCATCAACTTTATTTGCCTTATTTTAACAATAAAACATTTTAATTACAGCGATAAAAGTTAGAAGGCGAGGAGACCCAAGAAGCCACCAAGCTTATGGGAGAGCCATCTCACTTACAATAATAAATTAAGTAAAGAAAAAGTGCTGCGAATGTGCGTCTCTTACACATACAAGCCGTGTATGTCAACACAACTTTGTCCATCATTGTCGTCTTCAGTGCAGTCTTTCAGATCCTCTCCGTACCATATTTGAAATTCTTGGCCCTCAGTGACCGTTTTAGGTGAAGAAAAGTTATTGAACTTTAGCTCTCGAGAGTCTTCGTTGTATCCAGGGAGGCTATAATAAATTCCATTTGCACACTGAGGCACCCCATTGAACCTATGAAACACCGTGTTATTTGGTGGAAAAATCGGTTGCTGCCGATGATCTGTGACAAAAACTGCCAGCTTTGGAGGATATCTGAATTTGCATCCCCATTTTGACCTGGCGAACCGCTCACTACAGACCACGTATCCAGATAGATGTACCAGTTTGAAAGAGATCACATGACCAGTTGATAGAATCTTGAATACACCATATGAATTGTGACGAGCTCCAAAACAAACTGGTGAAGTGTTTATTTTTATCCACCGAGCTAAAGAAAGAGAAAAATCAAAGAATATGGATCAAAGTTATGGTTTGTAGCAGTCGAGAAAGTTAATCGTGACACTCTATCCGAGAGGAAATGTTGTCTTTTTCGAGTTACTTATGAAAAGTTAATTCCAAGGAAAAGCTGAAATCTTGCTATGCCCTGTTCGTAGAAGGGATTCCATTGTAGAAAGACTTCACAGAATATGGGTTGGTATTTCGCTGGACAATTGAACACGAGGGAAGGTTTTAGATAATGCAACGACACGTATAGTTACTCGCCTTGTATTTTCCGAGTTTTATTACTATCTATTAATGTCCAGCTTTACCTTTTGGTTATATACAGGATATAGGGTAAAAAAACATTGATAAAACCAAACCTTTTGTGCAAAAGGAGCCTGCAGGACAAAGACAGCGGTATCCTTTTTTAGTGAACCCAGTTTGACACATGGCTCCATTCCTGCAAGGGTTACTGGAACAGGCATTCTGAAAACCGCAAGTAGATAGATTAACTATATTGATTTTAATCAGCTTAATTGCTTAGTTTCTTTACAAAGCGTTTCACTGATAAATATTTGTAAACATTTGACCAAAATTTTCGAAGAATAACTGAATAATTTTAGGAAAAACCTAATTACTTTTGTCCCATGGTATGAAGATTGATGAATGACCATCAAATCCTCAGGATGACCGTTTGCATCTTTGTTATTCAGTTCACAAATCTTTTCTCGGCTGTGATTCGCTGCCCTCACGTTCACTGACACACAATCTGCTTCCAGAAAACAATTCAGCTGACACAGTGGGACGTCAGGGACTTCGATAGTTCGGATCACGTGCTTGGCTAGAATCTTTCCAAATATTGGAAGGTCAAAGTCTAACTGACGACAGTTATCTGTCAGAAGAGATCGAATCAAACAAATATTGTAAAGGCTTTGAAAATTGTAGGCTAAAAAATTTCGCTTTTTTCATTTAGATGAATATTAGGGATTTGAGAAACGTTCCATTCCTTATTGAGAAATAGCTTTAAGGAATAAAAATCATTCCTAGATGATTGATTTAACTAGTTTCACTTGTTTTGATAACCCTGGTAGTAAAAGCAATAAAAATATCTATGTTGTCTAAATTGAGAACGAGTAAATTCAAATATTTATATAACCTTGTGTGAGATAGATGAGAAAAAAATATAAAAACTGACAGATTCAAAAAAGTTTCACTCTGAGAAGTTTAAATCACTGGAACGATTCGTTCAACTTTGAACACGTCAGTCCTCGTGGGTTAAAAAAAGAATATCGCCCAAAACTTTTATAAACGTTTTGCAACGATAAATTCACATATGAAACTTATGACAATGAAAAGGATTAACCATTATCACAAAGGAAACATCCGCTCTTCTGACTTATTCGAAGTTTAAAGAAATGCTATTCAAACGAAAAATACTCACCATTATCGTGAACTGAAAACACAACTACTAAGATAAAATCAAAGAAAGTTACTACCCAATACAATCGAAACATGTCTTGAAAAAATGTTTGACTATCTGCAGATGGTCCCGAATGAGTTTTGAAACTTCCCCGTGGATAATTTTAACAAGACGAAATCAAACACAGATTCTTTCCTTTCAATTGTTAATTAATTCGAGCTCTCTTACAAATAAATAAGTTGTTGATGGTGAGGTTGTTTATTTAAAAAGGAATTCAGATCTCGCATAAAGTGATAAAGTGATAATGAAAGCAATAAAGTGATACTGAGTCTAAGAATGGTTATGTAATGTGGAGGATAACATCTAAGGAATATGAAAAACATGACGGAACCAAACCCCTACTGAAAGTAACTCATTTGCACGCGTTTCGTTTCTTTTTTTTCTTTTTTCAATAAACTGCCCAAGGAACCCATGGCAGTAATAGTGCGTACATGACTACAGTATTACTACAAATTACATGAACTTTAAATATTCATGTTTCAAGAAAGGGTACACATTCTAAGTTAGAAGGCTTTTAGTCTTTTGCATTCCAAGGTACCCAGAAGTCGTCTATATTGGCACAAGTCTAAGACAGTTTTTTTTTTTTAAACAGTAAAGACTAAATGTATATGAGTTCTGTTCCTTGGAACTATATTGCAGCTTAATTGTATAACTGCAAAAGAGACTTGGTGTGAGTTACATCATCGAAAAAAAGATGCTTTCAAGTGAAAGACATCAGCAATATACAATTCTGTAATTTATCTTTGTTTCAGATGACATTTTGGCTGCTGAAATAGCAACTTATTGGTTTGTACCGGCGGTAAGAATAACAAGTAAAGGTTGCTGATGAGGATACTGGTACAAACTCGGTTTGTAGTTAAATATTTAATGATTTACAGTTTCGGCAGAAATTTTGTTTAAGAAGTTATTGAAAATCATCATTATACAATACATTAGGGGAGAGACCTAGAGGGCGTTATTGCGTTCATTTGTTTTGATAACCAAAGATAAATATAGCTATGCAATCAAAAATGCAGCATCAAAATTTTATAACTCCACAAAACATCTGTCAAGAAAAATTAGTTTAAGTGCAGACTTGAAAAAACTTCTTAAAAAAAAGAGAAGAAAAGACTCAAAATAGATCAAATGAATTAAAGCACCTCAGTCTTCAGTCGGAACAGTATCACCACAAATCCAGCAAAACTCTCAAAAACAACAACCGAGCACACGCAAATCATATGACAAACAGTGACACTTTCAGCTGTTGATCTGCATTGAGTTTGAAGACTCCCCAAAGATGAATTTTTAATCAAACCAACTCAATCACAAATGAATAAAGGGGGGAAGTTTCTAAAGAAACTGTGGTGCTGCGTCGATGGGGGTAACAAAGTAATTTAGTTCTATCAACCAAGTTGAAATTGTAAATTGGCCACCGTAAAGAATTAAAAATCTAGCTTTTTAACTCTTTTTAACTCTTTACGGTGGCCAATTTACAATTTCCACCTAGTTGATATAACCAACTAAAACACAGCTACCCTCCTCTCAATTCTTGTTAGTTAACGCTCGAAACTAACGGGCTAACGCTCGAAACGTCAGCTTTTGTAATCGTTACGGTGGTCAATTTACCATTTCAACTTTGTTGATATATCCAAATTATCTTGTTAGTTAAGTCGAGCTTCAATGGAACAATAGTTTTCATCCACGTCATCTTAGTTCTATTGTTCTAAAAATAAAAATAAAAAGTTGGTGGTAAGAACCTATACTTCAAAAAGAAATCAAGTGGGAATTTATTTTAATTAAAAAGGCATTTGGTTTTTCATAGCTTAGCTGAAATTTCCTGAATGATGTTTGTATTACTTTTTCAAACAGGCTCTGGAGTGTAAGTTAACTTTTTTGTGGCAACTAGAATTGACATTAATCATCCAATGTTTACAATAATTGCTAAGTAATTCCAAAGCAGTTCTATTCTTTTTTCGTATCTATCTGCCACACTTCAATGAAAATGTACAAGGAAGCATCATTAGCTAATTTAACATTGAACAATGTACATGGCGAAGAAACCATGAAACCATCAGGGATTACTACTAGTATCAGGTTCGGTCTGGATGTATAAAAGTCAAGTTTGTCATTGAAAATGTATTACTCAGCTTTAAACTACTAAAATCATTCACAAAGAAGACTACCTAAAACACGAGTATTTCAAAGGGATTGAAATATCGGTATATAACGCCTTCCAGATTTTTTTTCTTTTTTTTTTCGATATCGTACGTTGTCAAATATATGTATAACACGTAACACTTCGTTAGTTTAGATGGAGTAGTGATAATTACATGTATAGGATTTTTATTGAATTTCTGTTGATTGTAATTGTAAAGCGCACAGAGTTCAATTTTAATGCGCTTTTTAAGAACTTATTATTAAATTAAATTAAATTCCCTAAAGATCTTCCTGGGTAACCCGATACAGCCTAATTTACAAATACAGTCCATAGAAATCAGCGCATGTTTCGCCGCCATTGTCTGTCTCAGTACAGTCAAATAGATCTTCTCCGAACCACATCTGCAATTCTTGGTCGACATAGACGGTCAGAGGGGAAGTAAAATTTTTGAATGGCAGCTCCAAGTCATCAACAGATACTCCCGGTAGGCCATAAAACGAAGGGTTATTCCCACACTCGGAATTAAATGAAAGGCCATCTATTGGCAAAATAATGTTCCTGTCAGGGTCTGTGATGAAGAGTGTTCGCCAGTTTGAACTGACCCCATTTTGTATTAGGGACACACCGCACATCTGCACAATTTGTGTATCCAGAGCAGTAGACCAGCTTGAAGGTGATCACCTGACCAGTTGCTGGAATCTTGAAAACTCCAAATGAGTCGTTACGAGCTCCAAAGCATACGGGGGACTGGTTAATCTTTATCCATTTAACTAAACAGAAAACGATGGAACCAAAAATATCATATATCACCTAGCCTTATGGTTTCTTCTAATTCTATTTCTTAATTCAGAACTCAGAAATGACGCTTTCAGTGTTCCTGTACAGCCTTCGCCTGAATATTTTCTTATCAATAAGTGGCTCATCGGTACTCAGAAGCGCGAGAAATGGGAACGAGTGGTAATAGCAAGGGACAAAATGGACCACGGGAAGGTAGCTTTCCATCTCCCCCGGCGCAATGTGCTCAGACACACTTGGGATCAAGTTAGTAATCCTGCAGCTAGACACCGATCTTGATGGAGATTTATTTGCAGGATGACTCGTACTTACTGTCTGGGTATGGGAAGAATTCATTTCATAGGCGTTGAGGTATTTGTATTTCAATTTGTGGCCATACTTCTATAAATCAAAAATCTCGGTTCAAATAATAAATGAAATCTAGCCGTATCCCTACAAATAAATAAAAACACCTACTCAGTGTTTGTGAGTGTACATGTATATTAAAATTATCCCATTGGTAACATGATCATTTTAATCCCGAACAAGAGTGCACTTAAATGCTCAACTCATCGCAACATTGTATTTAATGACCAGATCATAGCAGTGACTTCCTTGTTTAGGTTGCAAAGTACTTGGCTTCATATATTTGTTTTCTTTGTTCAGCTCACAGTTGTCGTGACTCACTTTTATCGGATAATTAAACGAGATGCAACGACAGTTCAACTAACATATCCTACAGCACTCCACTGGCATAGATACTGTCCATGTCTCAAACACAAAGCCAGTAGGCGAGTAATCTTGTTCCATGTTCGAACCTGTCGCAAAATAGTATCCACCAGGAAGAAAATTTCTGGTACAAGTCGACTAGGTGGAAGACACACGCAAGAGGATGTGAAGAATTTTGAGTTTCCAGCATCAGTATAATACGGTCATCGCTAACGGAAGCTGTCGTTGGAAGTAAAATTTGTAAAATAAGTGTAAATCGTATGATCATAATCACATTATGAACAATCCAAACGCAAATGATTTAACTCTAAACCCTAAATGCTTCACCCCCTCTTTCTAATAGTTACTCTAATATAATATTTTAACTTCATTTTATTTTATTTTATTTTATTTTGATTTTATTGTTTATTTTAATAATATATAACATATTTTTTACAGTTTTAAATTGAGTTTAGGAGCATGCTGTTGTTACAGAAGTCGCTCCCTCAATTTTAACACCTAACTTCTACGTTCATTTTACACACTCTTTCCCACCCTTGCATTGCCATTGTTCCTTTTTTACCCACTGATCACGAGATTGCTCATCGGTGGAGTGGGAACCCATTTTCATGGGATCCCATACATCAACACCAAGGGAAGCCACAAAGGTCACTAGTGAAACTACTGATTAATATATTTAATACTATACAAACGAGCACTGACTTCTGAGGAGAGATCAAAAACACTTTTTTATTCGATGGGTCCTCAAACTTCGCTAACATATAACAATGATCATAAATTTAAGGATAGTGGATAACAAGAAAGGAAAATAAAAAAAAGAACCAAACCCTTGCTGAACTCAATGAAAAACAACTAAAAACAGAACCAAACCCGGCGTTCTGAACTCAATTGCCCACATTTCTTTCCATTTTCAATTAACTTCCCAAGAACCCTGAGCGCAACCTTAGGTGATGCAATTTTACTACAAACTGAGCTTTATCTGTATTTACTAAAAGCGAGTAATTTGCACAACTTCTCTGTGAGGTGTCTCTTGAGCATTCCGGGATACCCTTAAGTCGTCCGTGTGGGTGTAAAAAGGTTACTGAAAAAGAAACTCACTGTCGGTTATATCATCGGAAAAATGACGCTTTCAAGTCAGTTACAACAATTACAATTTCAATTTGCAATTTGTTCTGGTTTCATATGACGATTTAAATTCGCAGCTACGCCTCCCGGTTAGCTCAATTCGTTAGAGCGCCGGATTGTGTTGTGCGAGGGTTCGAGCCCCGGCCGGACCAATACTCATGGTCTTAAAATAACTGAGGAGAATTTGCTACCTTTCTATAACATCAAGATATTCTAGTCTTCTCGGATAAGGACGAATAAACTGTAGGCCCCGTCTCCTGCAGGGTTAGGGGTAGGAGACGTTAATTTTCCACGCACGAGATTACTGTGTGGTGGATGTCCTCCCCTGGGGTGCGATGGTGGGTTTACTTGGCCCGCAGTAATTGGCACAAGCAGTTGCGGTGTCCCTGCCTGTCAGCGAATCTAATAAATTGAATTAGATTAAGCTGAAACAACAACTTACTGGTTGGAATTGGTGAGATTGACAAGTAAAGGTTGCTAATCAAGGTTATGATGCAAACTTTCTTTGTAGTATAATTTTCAATGATTTTCATTATCGGCGAATACTTTGGAGAAGGGCTGTTGCAAACTATCGTAATTGAATATCCGAGTTGAAAGTTGAAGTTCTTAGATTCATAAGTTTTGACGACCTCCTAATTACTCTAAATAAATATAGCCACGCGTATTCTATGAAAATGCAGCATCAAAAATTTATAACTCCACCAAAGATATGTATAGAAAAATGAATAAAAGTGCAGATTTCAACGAAAAAATAGGAAAACGGAAGAACAGACTTAAAAAATCAAATAATCAAAGAAAGTCAATCTTAACAAGTAAATTCAGGAGTAATGTCATCAGAAACCGCCCAAAACTCTAAATAGGTAACTTTATGCAGCGATGAATGTTATTGTGCTCTTCATATCATCTCAGAAACTTGTCCTAGCTGCAATTGCCTTTGAGACTCAACCGATCTGGCTTGTTGTAAAATTTTGAGAATTTAAAACAAATTTGCTCACCTTTATCCAAAAATCCAAATGTGTTACCGCCGCGAATACTCGCACCATATCACAAAGGTGAGAATTTCAGCAGGTGATCCACATTGAGTTGTCAAGACTCCCGATAGATGAGTTTTTAATCAAACCAACTAAACCACATTTATCCTTCTCACCACTGATACTTAAGTCGAGCTTCAATAGAACGATAGTTTTTAGTCTTAGTTGTGTTGTTTTACAAACAAAGACGTAGTTGGTGGTAAGAACCGTTTTCAAAGGGAATTCAAGTTTTAAGAATGTATTATTTAACAAAGGCTTTTGAGAGTTCAGACTTGAAGTGAAATACCCCGAATAATGTTTTTGTTGCTTTCTGGGACACATCTCAGGATAGCAACAAAAACTTCTTTGTACCATGTAGAATTTGTATTAATCATCAAACTGTTTGCAGTAATCCCTTTGGCAATCTCTTAATGTTTTTACGTGAAGAAATAAGAAACCGTTTATACTGATACTAGTATGCGTTTCTTTCATTTGGCAGTACTTGTAATTCAGTCGATTTCCCCTCAGTAGTTTTTTTTTTTTTCATCATCTACGTTATATTTCCTAGCTTTTGAGTTGCCGGCTTCTTTCGTAAGAGTTTTACTGACATGGACATGCCGCAGACTTTAAATCAGTAAAACATCAACTTTCATTTGGCTTAATAAGTATCATCGCTTTCGATAATGTGAATCTGTAGCTATTGCCTACACGTTTAACATTTCAGGCATTTCCACGGTTCACATATCCTTAATGGTAAAGATGTTGGACAACTGCAAAGGTTTAAACCAATATTTGAACAAGGGAAAACCAAACAGCATGAGCAGTTCACCCACGCTCTTTTACGTTTAATTTGTGATGCCTCTTCCAACAATTGGTTTTAAGTTTTCCCATTCCTTGAGTTCTCTATTTTCGTAGTTATTTAAATTTTACATTCAGTTATTAATAATAACATGACGACATGTAATCGTGCGGGGTTTAATTACTTAATTTTTTGAACACACTAAATGACTGCTTTATTTTCAGTAAGTTAACTAGTAAAAGTTGGGCTGAAAATTTAGAGTTATGGCTTATTTATTATGCTGCTGGATTTAAGTTCGGTCCTCCAGGAAGACAGATTTTTTTAATATATGACAGTTATTGATAAAAACGCAATGATAATGACTCCTAAACCCCTATTTTTGCCCCAGCTTCCCCCCCTTCCAAAAAAAATCTTCCTACTAAGTTAAGGAGACGCACAATGATGTCTTGTGCAGGTGAAGAAAGACTTGCAACACAGCGTCAAAATTTGAAATTTTATTGCATCGACAACTGCAGTTGCAAGAGAGTATAGTAAATTAATAACAAATTAAATCCCAATGTATTTCCTCTATCCCTTTTCATCGTCTGTCTAATCGAGATTTTTATGTGATAGAGAATTTGACCATCATGCCGATTCCTCTTTCCAGGTTCAATGGTTACAACACATAAAAAAAAGGTTTTCTTAATAGCTGTGATAGAGTCAAAGAAATCTAATCGAATGATAGCTTTGACGTTTCACGGCTATGAGTCTCTTTAACATTTTAAAGCGAGAGTTTTGTAACATCGTTTCTGGATTGTAGTCGAGATATGGTGTATCGAAGCAAATCAAATCAAATCAAATCAAATCATATCTTTGATTCCTTATTCCTAGACCTCTTTTCATCTTCAAGGCTACAACCGACTTGTCTATTTATATCGAAGAAATTCTTTCACTGTCTGATAAGGAGAGAGTTTTTCGGCTCCGTACAAACATTTCTTGTCCTGTAATGTGACCACAGGCTTGTTATAGAAGTGAGTAAAACCATTTTCCGCCAGAAAGCTTTTCACTTCCTCGTCATATTGGTTTCTAAATGTTTCTACATCTCTCGTCAACACAAACAGCATAATCTGCATGCTATCTGTGACAACAGAGTACTGGTAAAGACCTTCTTCACCAAAAGTAGGGGGTCCTAGTTTCACCACCCAGTCTGTGAAGAAAAACACGTTTCTGTTTATTAGTTTTATCTCCTCAGTAAATAAAGATGCAAATTCAGTTTACCTTTCCGCATCGGTATACTAGCGACTACTGTAACTGAGTATAAAACGTGTTGCGATTTCAGTGTCACGCAAATTTGCGCGTGTTGTGTGAAGTTTTCAGTCACTGCTTGCTGTGTTGCATTGGTTAGAGCTCCCTAGTGGCCCAGTCCCCTCAGGAGCAAGGACAAGGGGAACAGCATTATTGATGGGATTCTTCTCTCCCACAACAATTAAGATCATACAAAACGTTTATTGATGGGATTCTTCTCTCCCACAACAATTAAGATCATACAAAACGTCACGTCTCTTAATTTACGTGACAACTTGAAGTCGTTGACACTTACATGAACCGAGGACATGTACGCCGTCCAGAGGGAGTGTGAGTTTTCCTGGTTCTTTAGGGTCGGTCATGTAAGCATAACCAGTGATGCTCTTTCCCTTTCCTGTCGGTGTACGGTCTCTTTGTCTGTTCAGAACTCCAATTTTTCCATCTTTCCGGAGTGAGTCTAAAATAAATAGTTGAAATAAGAACAATTAAGAGTTGGACTTTTGTTGCCAATGGTATGCTTGATAAAGTCTGTTAGTACAAATTTGCACTTACAATCTGCTGTCACGCAAACTGCGTTACGCTCAGTAAATACCATCACTGCCGGGTCGGCATATACCTGTTCACGGACAAGAAAAAAAAAATGAAAATTTCACTCTATGACACACTAGGGGGAATAATCGCGTGATATGCATGCGTACGTAAGAAAACTTGATTTGCTGCTGCTCATAAATTGATTTTCTACGGGTTTTTTAGAGTCTTTTTTAGGCTTATATCTTTCTGCGCGATTTGATATAAGCCGATTGAAAAAATTAGGCATAAGATTGAAGAATCGCGTGATATGCACACGGGCGACAATTAACATACCTCCATTTACTTAGATACACCTGCAGTGTTATACCTTCCCAGCTGAGCTTTAACAACATCACATATTTCAAACTAGTGAGTTATGTCTAATGTATGGGATGGGAACTGTTTTTCTCGCTGCACCGCAGAAGGTCATGTGAGACAGGTTGTGTGACATTCATTCGCTCTGACTAAGGGCTAACGCTCGAAACGTCAACTTTTAAACTCCTTACAGTGGTCGATATACATTATCAACTTAGTTGGTAAAATCAAATTACCTTGTTACCCCCGTCGACGCAGCACCACAGTTTCTTTAGAAACCTACCCGCTTTATTTATGTTTGGCATTCGATCAAGCTTGAGTCGTGGTGCGCTAATTTACAAGTTTAAAACCACATCTCAGACGCCTGGTAAATTCTGCTCATAGGTATTACAACTTACGTCACTGTATCGTAAAATAAAAGGCCAAACGCAAATACTTCGTCCCTCTAAGCAGGCCACAAGCTCTACCCTGTACATAAGCATTAACGCACCAGTCCACAAGCTGTACATGCGGTTACATAATCATGAAAACTATTGTTTACGGCTTTACCTGATACCAACGACCAAGATATTTTGTCACATTTAAAGAAGGGACAGTGTCTATTCCAAAAGCACAGCTGAAAAACACAGTAACTAGAAACACAGTGTAATTCATGTCCACGTCTGAAGAGCAATCCTACAGGTTGAGAGTTAGGAGTTTCACTGCGTTTGTGTGTATAGGACAGAAAAGAGCAGACAATGGCATATATATAACTCACTGTTTCCAAATATGGCAACATGCAACGTAATGGTCATGCGTGGGGACCGCCTCGTGTTGCATCTCATGATCTCTAGAGCTGATGACGGTCGACAGTCGTTTTTTTAAACTATGACGTCACAGAAGAGTATAGTTGAGTTGGTACCAAAAGAGTAAAAAAACTAGCCACCAAGAAAATGTTCCTGCATGGTCACACAATTGCGATATCGCATTCTCTGGAACCTTAAGAAAAGCCGGTGGAAACTTGTGAACTTAGTGATTCCTTTGCTTTGCTGCTCTTGGACCCTTCCATGACATTAGAATCATGAGGCAATCATCACCCACCCAGCATGGTTAATAGCCAGCTTGTTGATGTCGCCCGATTCAACATGTGCCAACAATTAAGTCCTTGCACTTGTCTTACTTATTTTATAATGTCAGCTAAAATGTAGAAGACAGGAGAAAGTGATTTCAACAATGAAACTTCAGGGCCGTAAGGTTTCACTCCATGAATATCAAGAGAAGGTTATATCTACTAACATCTTATGCGCTGTACAAATGATTCATTTTCGCTGAGGTACGAGCCAGGGGATACTTCCTAATAATAAGCTATGGTGGGTGTACCGCTGGATGGGGTCACATTTTCACGACTAAATTGATTATAATAGCGCTGCATTTTCAATATAGTTACTAGAATGGGGTCGCACATTTTCGGGGTAAGACGATTCTGTTAAGTAGGTATTTAAATATAAGGTAGAGGTATAAACAGAGAGTGAGTAGGCTGGGAACACGAAAATTAAGAAATCGACAGAGGGTTTAGCGTGGTCTTATCTACAACCGGATATTTGTCATCACGGTAGTCAAAATGTAGCGGACTCCCGAGGCGCATGCGCAGCCGCTGTCATGCATGCAACATCACGCTCAGAAGTTTTCATAACTGCCGGGTCGGCATCTACTAAGACAAAAAAAGAAACAAAAACAACGAAGTCATTGTGATGGTTTTGATAAAATATTTCAATTTATGACACGTTAGGGCGAATAATCGAGTGACATGCATGCGCACTCGATGAAACGTGAATAAAAAAATCTCGGTTCTACTTGCACGTGATTACTAGAAGATTACATAACACTGTTCAAAGATTAAAAAAAAAAAACCCGCATTTTCTGGTGAACCTTCAGACTTTAAAAATATTGATTCACTAATTAGTACGGAGCAAATACCAAATATTGGAAAAAGCTACTTTTTCTGTACAAAGGCCTTGTTATTTATAGGCAGGACCTAGGCGAAGTAAGGAAACAAAAACACGAGGTCACTGGGATGGTGTTGATAAAGTATTTTAATTTATGACACGTTAGGGCGAATAATCGCGTGACGTGCATGCGCACTTGATAAAACGTGGATCCAAAAATTTTGGTTCTACTTTGACGTGACTACTAGAACATTACAAAACACTGCTCAAAGTTTTAAAAAGAAAACAACCCGCATTTTCTGGTGAACCTTCAGACTTTAAAACATTGAATCACTAATTATTACAGAGCAAATACCAAATATTGGAAACAGTTACTTTTTTTGTACAAAGGCCTTGTTAATTGTTAATTTCAGATCGGCTATTAGGCGAAGGTCGTCGTCTATCTGCGAACTAACGCGCGATGTCTACAGGACATTTATCCGACACAAACATTTTCGTTAGTGCTCAGTTTATTATCACCACTTAGTAAGTTCGTTTGATCTGCATGAGTCACTTCTTTTTAATCTATTATTGTTACGTATTGAGGCCCTTCTAACTCGTTAATGTTTGACTCTTTTTACTTTGTTTGATCGTAATTGATAGCACAGTTTAGGCGTCACATTGCAGTTTGTTGTTTTCTTACACACATCGCAATGATTTGTACGCGGAATCACTCCTCCAATATATAATATATCAATGGAGCCAAGGGAAAAGGGTTAATCTTGTTTCTAAAAGTGCCTCAGTCACTACTGAATCCATCCTCTAATGTTAACAGGAAATCATTACATAAAATCATTCAGCCAGCGAGCGTTGACTGTTCCCACGGTTTCTTTTGTAACTCTACAGCTGCTAGGTGCTGTTTAAGGCAACAACGTGAAGTATAAACTGCAAACAGGTAGTTTGTGGATCAAAATTCGTGTATTAGTGGTGAAATTGAATAAAAGAGATCGAGTAAATGCCAACAGGTGTCAAGGTGTCGTCAGGTTGTTCCAACAGTTTTCAGAAAGTCACAGCCTTACTTTGTTACACACACGATAGTACAGTGGTTACTGACTTTTCTTTTCAAATAACCGCAAAAAAGATCTTCGACGCCCCCAGCTCAATCCATAACTGCCACGGGCGACTGATTCTTTTATTCTAGGCGAAACAACTCTAACACAATTTTCAACACAGCGAAACGACACGACACGGTTAAAACTGCAAATAAAACGGCGAATGAAAACCTATTACAATAGAAACTAAACTAAATACACTAGGAAAGGTACAACGAAAACAACGACGAAAACTGAACTACATAATACAAAATCTACATTTGTTGTGATATTGTTAATCCCTGCCTGGCGGCGAGCGAGCTGCACGAAACGAATGACAAAATAGACAAAACTGCACTGGGTAAAACTCAGTGGAAAAAAACTGCACAAACTACGATGAACAATACGGTTTAAATATACACGTTCTCGTCATGGAACAGTGCTAAGCGTGGAGTGCCTCACGGTAGTGTCTTAGGCCCGATTCTTTTTTAATATATTTGTTAACGATCTCTTCTATCATATAACGAGAGCTAAGCTAAATGCGTATGCTAACGACCATCAAATATATTACTCAGACAAAGATCCGATTGCACTTGAAGAATGCTTATGTAATTAGGAAGTTGAAAAGGCAAATCAATGGAAAAATGACAATGGTATGACTGTCAACGAAACTAAACATCAGGCCTTGATCCTTGGTGATACGGAGTATAAATTCTCCTTTCCAGTGAAACAGTCCATCGACATATTTGGTATGAACATTGACAACAAACTACAGTTTGATAAACACGTATCTTCGATATACAAAAAGATTAATAATCAGTTAAATGTCATGATAAGATTTAGAAAACTGATCTCTAAAGCCACTTTGGTCAAATTGTATAAGGCCTTCATCTTACCGCACTTTCAGTATTGTTCATCGGTGAGGCATTTCTGTTGTGTACGAAACACCGAGAAACTAGATGCTCTTAATAAAAGAAGTCTAAGGTTCAATCTAAATGATGTTGAATCTACGTATAATACTTTATTGGACAAAGTGAACTGTGTTTCTTTATATAACAGACGTATACACAATATGTTAATTTTACTTGAGAAAAGTTTATTTCTAACTAAGTATCCTATCTACATGAGGAATATGTTTACTTTTCGTAATACCACTTATAATTTACGCCGTAACTACGTTCTGAAACTCCCTCTTGCTAACACTACTTCTTATGACCTTTGCTCTTTTTCTTGTCATGCCGTTAAACTATGGAATTCACTACCGGACAATGTTCGAACCCTGAACCATAATGACTTTAAAAAAGCATTAGCTAGCCTTAAATTGATGTAATATTAGAACATATTGTAATTGAATTCATATTGTATTTTTTAATATTCAGTATATCTATTTGTTTCATTTCAGCCGTTAATTATAAATATGCCACAGGATTGTATTTTATAATGTCATTCTATATTATGCCGATTTCTTTTGTTATTTGTTATTTTTCTCTAGGAAAAATTAGTCTTTTACAAGCAACTCTTAAATTCGGGAAAAAATAAAGTTTATGTATGTATGTATATGGTAGATTACGTAACGTTACCTAATGACAAAGAAAGCGCACACAAAATCTTACTACAACTAGCACTATTTGTACAAGAACAATAAACAACCGAAAAAGAATATTAAGGCGTTTGCGATCTACACAATCAAAGATGAGAATGCCCTACCGCGTTGAAAAACAAAAAAACCATGGAACGAGAGGCGGGTCGCACAACCATTGCGCTACATGTTACCATATTTAGAAATAGTGATTCATATAAACCCCGGGGTTACGAATCTTTCTTCCTCTACACACACGCAGCGGAACTCGTAGCATTAAGCCCAAGGCGTTGCCCCTCAGAAGACAACATGAAGTACACTGTGTTTCTTATGGCTGCATTTCTTAGCTGTGCTTTTGGGATAGACACCGTCCCTTCTTTAAATGTGACAAAATATCTTGGACGTTGGTATCAGGTAAAGGCATAGACTATGGTGTTCATGATTATGTAACCGCATGTTCAGCTTGTGGACTACTTTAAGGGACGAAGTATTTTTCAACGCAACGTTTCATAATGCTTTTACTGTGTAGTATCATATGTCAAAAACCTTTTATAAGAATTTATCAGGGATATACGATGCCGTTAAAAACTATTAATTTGCACCGGAAAACGTGGTCGATATAACTGAATACATGTGTATGACTCAATGCGCTACAAGGAAAAAAAGGCATGCTAAAAATGATGCGTGCTTCATACCATAAACTTTACTCGCTGGTTAGCAAAAAGCCGTCGTTTAATTTGTACTTTTGTCTGATGCGGGTAATGGCCGATGGAAAGTTAACAAATCCTTTGCTTTGTACAAAAAATTAATTAGCTACTGTATATACCCTGCAAAATTAGTGGAATCGACGTACAGTAATGACAGTCTGGCGAAAACTTTAAGTATCTAAGTTCGTCCGCAAATGCCGCTCGTTTCTCATTTTTGAAGCAGTGTTACATAATGCGGTGGCCGTCACGTTAAAGTAGTACCTAATTCTTTGATTCACGTTTTTTGCGCACGTAAATCAAGCGATCATTCCCACACGCGCGTCATAGAGTGAAATTTTTCATCAACACATTCCCTTTGACGTCATTCAATTTCATTTTCTTTATTCTTTTCTCCTGCGTGTGAACAGATGTATGCTGACCCCGCAGTTATGGAAACTTCTGAGCGAAACGCAGTTTGCGTGACAGCGGATTGTAAGTGTTATTGACTACCCAACCAGTGGCCACCAAAGTCCAATTTCAAATTGTTCTAACTTAAACTATTTTCAGATTCACTCCGGAAAGATGGAAAAATTGGAGTTTTGAACAGAGGGAGACTCTATACACCGACAGGAGAGGAAAGCAGTATCACTGGTTACGCCTACATGACCGACCCTAAAGAACCAGGAAAGCTCACACTCCATCTGGACGGCGTACCTTTCCTCGGTTCATGTAAGTGTCAAGGACGCGAAGCTGTTACGCAAATAAACCGATGCAGCGTTTTCCTTGAACTTATCTTATATGATTAGTTGAGGTGTGAGGGGACGATCCGAACAATCATGCCTGGACGAGAACGAACGAACGAGAGGGACTGTGCATCTCTGAACACCGCAATGCAAAAAGCAATGACTGAAAATTTCCCACAAACGCGCGCAAACTTGCATTAACACTGAAATCGCAATACTTAGTTACTGTAGCCCGTTCACTGGTCACCAGTCTACCGATGTGGAAATGTAAATAATTTGAATTTTTATTTATTTACGGACGAGATAAGGCTTATAAACAGAAACGTGTTTTTCTTCACAGACTGGGTGGTGAAACTAGGACCCCCTACTTTTGGTGTAGAAGGTCTTTACCAGTACTCTGTTGTCACAGATAGCACGCAGATTATGCTGTTTGTGTTGACGAGAGATGTAGAAACATTTAGAAACCAATATGACGAGGAAGTGAAAAGCTTTCTGGCGGAAAATGGCTTTACTCACTTATATAACAAGCCTGTGGCCACATTACAGGACAAGAAATGTTTGTACGGAGCTAAAAGACCCTCTCCTTATCAGACAATGAAAGAATTTCTTCGATATGAATAGACAAGTCGGTTGTAGCTTTGAAGATGAAAAGAGGTATAGGAATGAAAAATAAAACATATGACTTGATCTGGTTTGATTTGCTTCGATACACCATATCTCGACTACAAGCCAGAAAAAATGTTACATGAATCTCGCTTTAAAATGTGAAAAGACTTATAGCCATGAAACGTCTAAGTTTTAATTCGATTAGGTTTGATTAACTCCATCACTGAGAGCCATCAAGAAAATTCTGCTTTTAAGTGTTGTAACCGTTGAAGACGAAAAGAGGAATGGGCAAGCTTTATCGCATCTACGATCATAGGTGTTATAAAAAATCTCGATTAGATAGAAGATGAATAGAGATGGACTAAATAAACTATGATTTCAATAATTTGTTGTTAATTTACTATGCTCTCTTGCAACTGCAGTTGTCAATGCAATAAGAATTTCAAGTTTTGAAGCTGTTTCAAATCTTTCTCTACCGACACAAGACATATGCTTCCGTTTGTACATCGCCTTCCTCCCTCATTCGCTCAATTATTTGTAATCGTTGTTTACAAGGCTTCCTCCAGCCTGCAACTGCAAACAAACCTGTAAGTCTTGTGCCAAGTAAAGAGATATCTCAAAATGCATTTTTGGCAATCCAAGTTTTACCTGTGGAGAGAAATGCAAGATTTATGACGTCGGCCAGTCTCGTCATTTTAAAGTGGCGAATGGTTACTCTTGTTCGGTGAGGATGGAAAAAGCAAAAATAATGTAACGGGAGGCCGCACAACCATTGCGCCACATGTTACCATATTTAGGCATAGTGTTTCATAACTCCTGGGTAACCAAGTTTGCGTTCATTTCACACACTCGTTGAAACGTGAAAAGTTCTTAGCTTGTGGCGTTGCTCTTCGTAAGTCGACATGAAGTACACTGTGTTTCTAATTGCTGCATTTATCAACTGTGCTTTTGGAATAGACACCGTGCCCAAATTGAACGTGACAAAATATCTTGGTCGCTGGTATCAGGTAAGGCCCTGTGTGTGGTATATTGGTGTCTATGATTATGCAATAGGTACAGCTTTTAGGATATCTTGAGGTTGAAGACTTTGTTAATGCAACTTCTTAACGAGTTTTATCTACGTAAAAATGTATCTTGTACAACTTTTGAGTAGCATTCATCAGGTCGTTTTACATTTCCTTCGAAACATTAATTCACGCAACACGACAAAAGCCTGAATGAAGAAAACTTGTTGAACATGACGTTATGGGCTGCAGCACGACTAAAGACAAGTGATTCCTTTAAATAAATTCCTTTCATACTCCATACTTCGGAAATAACGCACGGTTTTGCAGTAACCCGGGGTACAGTGTTTTTCGGATGCCGTGCAGTAACAAGGCCTTTGTCCAAAACGGAAAGGAATATTGTACAATAATTGTACTGCTGTTGTATAAGTTCTCCCAAGCGTAACGTCTGAAGACTGAGCAAAATCTTAGAGTTCATTTGCAAGCGCCGCTGGCTTTTTCGTCTTTGAGCAGAGTTATGTGATGTCATGGTGGTTGAAGTCTTGATGTGAAGGTGATCGTTTAATTGGTAAACGCAAGTTTATGGAGGCATATGATTTAGCGTGCGCTACTACATCGCACGATTCTTGCGTCGAATATTTGCCATATTGGTTTATGTAAATATTTCTTAAACTCCATTCTACTGACGTCATGTGGTTTTCTTCTTTTTTTGTCTTATTTCCTGTAAATAGATGTACGGCGACCCCACAGTCATGGCAACTTTTGAGCGTGACGCAGTGTGCGTGACAGCGGATTGTAAGTGTACATTTATTCTTACAGACTGTCAATAAAAGCATACCACAAGCAACACAAGTCCAATTCTTAATTGCTCTTGTTTCTAATATTTTAGACACACTTAGGAAAGATGGAAAAGTGGGCGTTCTCAACAGTGAAAGACTCCGTACACCGACAGGAGAGGGAAAGAACATCACGGGTTATGCCTACATACCCGACCCTAAAGAACCGGGGAAGCTCAAAGTTCATTTGGGAGGCACGCCTGTTGACGCTCCATGTAAGTGTTATCAATTCGAGGCTGTCAGGCAAAGCGACATGCCATTTTTACATTTTCACACCACTGGTTTG